TTAGCTACACTTATTTGGGGTTAAATGATTTTGTATTTGGCAAAGATTCCTCGCATTCCATTCCGCAGCTCAGAGCTGTTTGCCTTGAAGATATTTTTGGGTGTTTTTTGGGTATTGCGATTAGTCATGGGAGATTATTCATGGAACTTCCATAAATTCACACACAATCCAGGAGATTTTAATGCAAATTTCTTTACTTTTCCATTGTATATCCTAACTTGATCTCGAAACAAATTAATGCTCACCTGATTAATGTTCAATCAGTTGATCTTCAGTCAAACAAAAAACCAAAAACAAACCCATGCTAATGGAATTATCCAGATTAGCCCTGCCATACAGCAGGGGTATCGAAGCTTATTATCCATACAAAACGGCAAGCAAAGAGCCGAAAAGAAATGGAATTTTCCAATCAATTAGGTCTGACCTCCAGTTGCCCTTGGGGGGGTCCGCTCTCCTACCATTTTCCATCTTTATCGTTGGCCCGTGATCGCCGACACGATATTGCCCTAGGTTTGGGCTACCGTTCGGAGTGGCCAGCAACAAACCCGAAAAAAACAACCGATGCAACACCATCTCAACGTGCAACAACGAACAACAACAACAACTTGGAAGTTGGGCGCAACTTTCACTAATTTTCAATGCGAGCAAACTTGATTTGTAAATTTGCGGCAGCAGGACAGGACGCACTCCACATAATATTTCTCACCCATTCTCGGAGCTCTGAGGTGGCGACACCTCACCTCACCATCGCCCAATATCCAATAGCCAGTATCCAATCAGTCGCTGACAATTTCCCACTTTAGTTTTCCCCACTAATTGGAATGAACAGAGAGACACATGGGAATGGCTTAGCAACCCCAAAACATTCTTCCCGTTTTGATACCCTTTTTGTTGGCTGATGGATGGTATGGGTTTTTGGGGGGCACAGATTAAACAGAAGAATTTATTTGTGGTACGTTTTTAGAAGGGTTTAAAGGGTTTCGATTTAACGGATTTGGACTGCAATAAAATTGGAAAGGCAAAACAATTAGTACGAGTTTTTGGTTTATGATGTAATCCTTACCTGAACACATCATATAGAATTGTATAGAATTGTAATGGGCCTTGCCCAATCCAATCCAAAACAAGTTCTGTTTGCCATTAATGTTGATAGAATTTACAGAAATATTTTAGAGTGTCTCCCTAAACTAATTATGACATTAACTTTAGTCCATTAAATGTATGGGCAATGGGTATGGCTGCCACAAAGATGGTGTAGCTCTTGATAAGGTCCCAAAAAAATGGATCATTGTATATCACATTGCATATAAAGCGAATCTGGCGAGCACCTTTCTTCACATCAAACATATTGGGGAGAACTGTACTTGTACAGACAAAAATAAATGTGTCACAAATAAATATTTTGATTCTGTTTATCCTTACCTCTGGGTTGCTGCTTATTGCTATGATTTTGGTTAATTATTTTTGGAATATTATTCCTTATTGTTGCTGAATTTTGTTGCTTAGTTGAGACTGAGAGCGAGACAAAAGCGCTTGGAAGTGACTATGCAAGCTTTGGCAGGGACTACTTGGTTGTAAATGAAAAATGTATACTTTTTATTACAATTCCTAGGGTAATTCAATGTCCCTCACACTCTGTCCACACTTCCGACTTCCTTTTCGGGCAGCTTGACCCAGCTCTTTCCGCTAAAGTTTATCGCTCTATTATGGCATGCAAATGGCAAAATTAGCCAAAAGACTGCACTTATAATTATAATTTACACATATCGCTGCGCGCGCCCTGCTCTCCCGTAATCCATAATAGACTTGTTTTTTCCGGACCTTCCCACCTCCCCTCGCTATTGAATGCTTCGCTTAAGTTGGCCAAATCTCTGGTGTTTTATTTTCATTTAATTACTGACTCGGTGGCTATGTCGCAGTGGTTGGTGGCAGCAGCAGCATTAATTGGCTTGTTTTTGCCAGATAATGATTATTGGTTTTTACGACTCTTTGATTATGCCATGATGATGACGATCATCATCATGATGATGCATCGGAAAAAGTAGAGGCCAACAGCGGGAAAGTGCTGGCCTGGCTGTCTCTCCGTCCGTCGGCTATGGCTCTTTTCCGTCGAGGTGTTGAGCATTTTGCTGGAGTTGATGGCCTGTCAGTCAGTCAGGCATCTCCCTCTCCTTCTCCCTCTCTCTCTCTCTCTCTCTACTGTACGCCTGTCCGTCTGGGCAGACATTGCACTCTTGATGTGGCGGCGACTGTTTCTGGTGCTGCTGCTGGTGCTGGCACTGCTGTTGCTGTCTTAATTATGTAATATGCGCGCATTGAAAGACAATTTAAATGGTCGGCCCGGCAGTTTATGTAGAAAAACCAAACACGAACGAACTTCAGCAGTGGCCCAGAAATGCCAGAAACGCCGGGAAAGGCGTTCCATCAGCAGGCAGAGCAACAGCAGCAGCAAGTCGAACATTGTGATGCTCTAAGTTAAAGCAGCCATCGATGAAAAATAACCTTGCAGGCAGGTTCTTTGGTGTGCCAACTTTTAGTTAGTGTATTTGTATATAGCGCTGCATGTTCTGCTTTCGCATTTCGTTTTTATGCATTCAGCAATGAGTCACATCGTTGTATTATCGCATGATCTACGAGCTTTGCTTTGCACCTCTCACAGAATACATACATACGTGCGCTCTCTCGCATTTGCTTCACTTTATTGCACGCTCTCTCTTTTGGTAACTGTTTACATCGCTCTCTCAACAACTCCTACTCTATATTCTTGGATGCGACCGCTCTCTCAGCAACAGCAACAACAGCTGGGGTGGTGGCTAGGCCTCTCGCTCTCATTCTTCCCTCTCTCAGGCCACTGCTTACAGCAATACGTTACCCGCAAGCAAAAACTAACGGGACTTTGCTTTGCTGCTTAACGACCACAGAGGCTGACATTAATTTCAAATGCAAGGTGTTAAGGTTTTAAAGTGGATTTTCCTTAAAAATTTTCCCAAGCCAAAATAAACTAACAACGGCCTATGCTCGTTCGCCAGTGCAGTGTATTTCACCTGCATAATTATATGCACTTGATCCGCTGCAGAACTATGTGTGTGTGTGTGTGTGTGAATGAGATGCAGCATGCAGCTAAATGTGCAAAGTGCAACGTGCAACCTGCAACTGAAGTGGACACCAAGTGGACAACAAATTATGAGTGATTATGCAAGGCATAAAAGCTGAAAATCGATTGCATTGCAGCTAGCCACAGCCACTGCCACATGATGGTTGTGGCTGCTCCTTCTTGAAGCTCTTGACCCCATTTCGAATTTGGTTTTTGGAGTCGAGATGAGTTGGGTGTTCGTCTTTGCAATGCTTCAGAAACTTTTCGGACGCGACGCCCCCGAAGTTGCGCTGCGTTTTAATTGCTTCATAATTAAGCGGCAATTACATAAAAATCAAAACATAAAAACCAAAACAAAACAAAAACCAAAGTTGATTTCAAATTAAATGATTACGGCAGAGAAGAGAAGCCACAGCAGCAGCAGGAGAAAGGGAAAAAGAGGAAAACAGACGCACGCATGGCTAGGCAGAAGAAAGAAAGTGAGAAGTGGAGGGGGACAAAAGAGAGCACCCAAAGGGGCATTCCTCCATTTCGCAGCCGAAGCATAAACGATTAGTTACATTCGCTTAACAAATTGTTGAATAATTATTTGTAATTATTATAATTCAACTAAATACTTGGTGTGTGCGGGCGGTTGCATCAGCAGCAGCTACAATTTGCACCACTAACCCACACACATTTGGCAGCACTTTCCACTCCACCTCCTTCTTGGCACCACTGGCACAGACATACCACACACCACACATGAATCGCGGCTAGAGACGCCACTGCCTTCGCTACACTTGGTTGGTTAATTTATGTCATGATTCCGCACATAAATTCCAAAAGGAATTTTCCTATAAATTACTGGGGCTTTTCCCTGTCGGCCTTTTGCCTCTCTCACTCCATTCTCCCTTGCTTCCCCTCTCAAATTTCTCTGCATCTCTTTTAGTGTGTGTGTTTTTAGTTGGCAAAGATGTCAACGATTTCGTTTTTTCGTTTTTATTCTTCTTTCTTCTCCCGTCATTACGAAATGAGTTGGCTTTCTTCCTCTGCTTCATCGTTTGCTTCCTTAGATTTTACTCGTGCCACACGGTCTTACCGCTGCACACAAAACACCGCTCACAAAAACACACTAGTGAAATGCTCTAAATGGCTAGCCAGCCACCCCCCCCCCCCCCCCCCCCCCCACACTCCGACGATCCCTGTGACATCTTTCCATGAGGAGACCGCCCAAAAAAACTGTTTCTGCATGCGACGACACGAACAGAATATATTCTGTGCACACCCTTGAAGAGGCTATATTCATTTTACAGAGATGGAAGTATTTTCGATGCTCTGGCAAACAAATCTTTACTATTTAAGGAAATCTTTCTGGAAGAGGGTACATCCCCATCGGTGTTCTAACGACAGGCAACAGGGAATATCCAGGGGCTAGCTGCACCAATAAATTTAGCTCATATCGCGCGGAGTGACATTAATGTGTCATCGCGGTCGCGGCAGCCAGAAATGTTTCCCCTAATGATGTGGGAGTTTTGTGGGCGTGTATTTTTATATCTTTCAAATGAGAAATGAGTTTGTCTTTCCGCCGAGGTGTCAGAATCAGTTTGATTTGATTTTTTGGTAACGATATAATGATGATTATTTCGGGGCTACCTACCAGATGGATTTATTCTGCATAAATATTGATCAATCAATGGAATTTAGGGGCTTATAATTGGATATATGCACAATTTATGGTAGGAGAAATCTGCTGCCATAATATTGTAGAATAGTAGCTGCAGATGGCTGATGCCTTTGTGGCTCGACTTTATGGTACCCAGTAATGAGTTCTTAAATCGAAAGATTAATTCAAAAGAGTAGGCTTTGCTTTGAGTTAAAAAAAAACTAAAACCAAGTGTCTTTAGCCTCCAAAAAAGTTCTTGAAAAGCAAAAAAATATATATTCGAAATATGTCTCGCACAATTCTACTGATCCAACTCGATACGCGGGAGAAGAGTCGCTCCTACGCCTACTTCCAGAGCGTCGACGAGTGCTTGGAGCGTGTGTGCAAGATCTACGAGGAGCACCTGAAACGCTGCACTCCTAGTGCCCATGTCATCACCTACGACATTCTGCAATTGTTTGACTTCATCGACATGCTGAAGGACCTCACGTGCTTGGTGCACCAAGTGGATGCCAAGACCTATGCGCCACGCAACAAACACTGGATCAAGCATCAAATAAGAGAGAAGCTGCGAAAGGAGGCGAACAAAAGCGCTGAAGAGAAACGTCAGCAGGGAATACCGAAGGAGGAAAAAGGGAGCGCTAAGTTTCTTTAGACTTTCAATTTGAAATATATGGAATATCCTGACAGAGGGTATTCCGCCAGCTGTTGCTCCTTTCTTTTTATTGGCACCTGATCGAAAGCTCTGCCACAGAGACAGAAGGCAAGGTGTTGAACAATTTTCCACACACGCACACACACACAGACACAGAGACGAGTCTAGGCAAATGAGGCTGGAAAATGTCTCTCAATTATGCAGTGTCTCGTTTGGATTGTTTTCATTTGTGAGTTTCGCTCGTGTGCATAATTTAAAATAATGACAGCACATGAAACTTAATGCGTCTGCCCCGAAACAGATCGATCGAACCGTCACGGCACGTCACGGCACGCCACGGCACAGGTGCCCGGTGCCCGGTGCCCGGTGCCCACAGGGGGCTTTGCTGATGTTGATGCTGATGAGGCAAGATGCTCAACGGCTGATGGCTGAGCGGACAACAGGCACACGCATCCAGATTACACGCCTTGATTGGAAGGTGGAACCAGGTGTCGCCTGGCCCCTCGTCTCACTCTCACTCTCACTTTTCGGGCGTGAAATATGCCCATCCGATGCACCCTCCCGCCAGCGACTGGGAGTATGTTATCTGACAATTAGCTAACGGACAACACACTGAGACGACACCCGCTGCACAGGCAATTTTCGCATACTCCGATCCGCAACCACATCCCCAGGCCCCCCTGTCTAATGGCTAAATCTGTGATTTGTGATTTGTGATCTGCGATCGGTGATTGCCACCGTCACCGCCACCGCCACCGCCAGTCGCTATTCGTTTGCATTTTCCCCTATTTTTTGTATACCCTTTTCATGTCTACAAGTCCAATTTTCGGCTCTTTGCACACCTGGACCTCGAACACTATTAATCCTAGAGCGCAGCCGCTTTCCTGCATGAAATCATAAAAACCCTACATAAAAACACCTTTATAATGCCATATTAAACAAGTGAATGAGGCCCCAAGTGTATCTGCAGCTTCGGCCCCCCCAGGCCAGCATAGAGCCTTTCTTTCTGGTTTTTTGTTGCTGCTGCTGTTGTTGTCACTTTCCTTTTGCAATGCAAATTTCTCGTGCCGTCTATTAATTGCTAATGGCAGTCGACAGGAGAAATAACAGTTAAGAAAAACGCCAAGGAAAACCAGCCATAAAAATCGTCAACCAAATGCAGTGGCACTGCCACTGGCAGGCAGTCTTCTCCTCCTCCACCACCACGAACCGTAACTTCTCTGCATACTGGGCTCTCTCTCTCTCTCTAGCAATTGTGAATAATTTTTGTAGCCTCACTCTCCTGTGCAACTGGGGGTCCTGTCTGTGTCTGTGTGTGTGTGTGCAACAAAAAAATAAAACTTTCTTTGCATAGAGGTTGCTGCTGCTCCGAGCGGACTGCTCCCGCTCTTATGGCTTATCAGCGATCTTCAGACGTTGGCACGTTTCGTTCATTGCCTTGAATGTGGTTGTTGCTGTTGCCGTTGACGTGTTGCCAAATAGCCATATTCAAGTTTTTATTGTGCTTCATATTAGATTGCCACGGCCAATGCATAAATCTGCTATTGAATGCGCGAATCCCGCATCGGAATCCGATCAACGAGTGTTTCCAAGAAAGCCAACAAACAGCCACAGAAGGCCATGAAAGTAATTTTATTCGAGGGTAAACCCATCGCTTCGATGGCATCCATTCTGTATGGCTGCATATTTGGGATAAGTTCAGGGAATTTATGGAAAATTGTGTGGAATATTTAAGCGTTAGGATTGAAGATTTTTTTTTGAGTGTTTTATTATGATACTAATAAAAGTACTTCAACTGATTTTGGGTCTTTAAAGTAATTTTGAACATGGAAGAATTTCCATAAACTAAATTCGAAATACCACCGAACTTTTCTGCTCAATTAAAACTTACTGGAGGTAAAATTCTGATCGTAAGCTCCACTCAATGGGCATGAGAAAGTGGCGCAAAGTGGTACAGAAACAACGAAAAAATGCCAAAACCTGGAAAGTTCTCAAGTTCCAGTCTTCCCTTTGAGTCACCCCAGGGCGCTACACCAATGGGACCACGGCCCCAAAAATTCTTTTAGCAAAAAGTCAACAGCATAAATTCAGGCACAGAAAGCGGTGAAGCGATCTTCTATCTGCGGCTAGCAGTGCTCCTGCTCTCTCGTTCTAATAAGCCAAACAATAAATCATCATTGGGTCTTATAGTTTTAGCAGTTTTTTTTTTGCCTAAACTCTGCTGACTCACGATCCCCAAAGAGCTTCGGGGCCCCATGTACATTCTGATGCCCATTCCCATGCCCAGTCCCATGCCCAGTCCCAAGACTGGAACGAAACGGAACGGCGCTTTACTTTGTGTGTTCTCTGCCTGCCCGCCTCTGTCCTACTCGCTCCCTCTGCACTTCTTGGGTTTCCTTCATCTTCTTCTCAGGCTAACAAATTCTGGCAGGCAACAAAAAATCTGCTCGAGAGTGAGGCAGCGAGCAAAAAACAGGCTTGGGCACATTGCTGGACATCACGCAAGCAGCAGAGGAAGGAGAAAGTCTCCACAAAGGGCAGACGGCGGTGTTCAGAATCTCCAAATCTCTTTGCCAAAAGCAAAACACACACGAGGTTCGGTTCTGTTCTGTTCTGTTTTTAAAGAGATTTGTTATATGGCTTACATTAGTGGGTGCCATGCCATTGCTCCCCCTCTCCGTTGCGCTGTGCATTGTGTGGTAAGCGGGCAGCGGCACCAGAATTGACATTTCCTTTTACAACATCCAAGAAACAAAGCAAAATCAGCTAGCCGAAAATGTTCATACCCTAAGACAAGCATCGTTGCCATTTATTTTGCAAAAAACTGTTCCGTTTGGTTAGGGTGTAAGCAAGTGGGGGGATGGGGATCAGTGCAAAATGAAAACGATAAATCAGCAAAAACAACAACAGTGCTGTGTTCCATGTGATTGTCACGCTTGAAGGACTTTTCTCGTTGGAAAGCAGCAACAAAAGCGAAAATGAATTTGTTGCTGCAGCTGTTAACAGCATTTGTTGGCAATGTTGCTGGCTGTTGCTGGTTGCTGTTGCTGCTGCTGTTGCTGTTTTTTATGAAGTAGGTTACTGTGTTTGTTGAGTAATTGAGTTTAGTCTCTTTTTTTCACACACGAATATCCATTGTTGCTGCTTTTTGTTGTTTAGGAAGCTGTCGTACATGCAACTTACAGCGGAAAACAGTTTTCTTGTACACGTCTTGCATGTGTACACTGTACACTACAGTGGAGACTGGTAGCTACATAAGCTAACCTTAAATGTCAATGATTCCCTTGTCTCGCTCCCCATCGTTAGTCAATAAATGAATTGCAACCTAAATGCTTGACCTGCACTGTGCTTCCTATTTCATTTCTCACTCTATTGCCCGTCCCCTGCCTCCCCATCCCGTTGGCTTCCTTCTCTGCAGTCACGTTCCAGCTTCCAGTACGTCTACCAGGCCCACCCCTGCAGTCCGCTCTCCTCGCTTCCTCTTTCAACTGTCTGCCTGTGATCTAATTACTGTATTTGCTGTCCGTTTTGACTGCTGCCTCCTGCTCTCCTTTGGCGTTTTTTGCCCCGCCCGCCGCTCTCTCCTGCTCCCCTTTGGCGCTGGCTTCGCCGCCTACCTGCTTGCCGCTCTCTAGCCTTTGCTTGGCCTGTTTGTGCATTCGTCGTGCTCTACCTGTCCAAGGCGTATTTTTGCAGGGTGAGGCATTCAGCCTTTTTCTCGTTGCTACTGTCTCTCCCTCTACTGTATCTATAAATTCCCCACCCTACTTGTACACACCCTGTGGCTGTTCCATCTTCTCCTATTCCGCTCTCCTTGACTAGCTAAAGTCTTTGCCGTTATTCTTTTATGTTATCATTCGCTTCCATTGACAGCTTCGACTCGTTCTCGACTTTGATCACGCGAATCAAAAGAGTTCTCATCGTTGCAATCTCTCTCTTGCACTCTCTCACTCTCTTTTTTGTCGTTTAGGCTGCCGTGTCCCCATTTTCATTAAACGAATTTTCGTGACTGGTGTATAAAAATATTGAAATCCATAAGGAAATTGATGCCGATGCATCAATTTTCACTTTCCTCGGATACAAGACACTTAAATACTTACTTATATAAGGTTTGCTGGCGGGGGTGGAGAGGTGTAGGGTTATCCCCCACCAACGCCTGATCCCCCACAACGGCTGCAGTTGTTGCAACAAAAAAGAAATCCTTGTACGTGAGGTTTGTGTTCGAGGTCACGTGGGAAACACCAGGCAACAAAACTTAACTGCTTGAGATTTCACATCAGGAGGTAGTCGGCAGTCAGCAGTCGGCAGCGGCATTGAGCTCCACAGATTGAGATCCAAAATAAAGTACAGTGAAAGCACTTTAAGGCGGGAGCGAGGTAATGCTCAAGTATGCGATTCCTAAATAATGGATCAACCAAGAGTTTTCACTGTAATCAAACTAAATGAAACCAACAGGGAGAAACTTATGTAAACCTTTTTGGGGGGGAGTTGATCATTCCTTGTGTATTAATTATTATTTATTAATTATTATTCAAACATTGTAAGACAATCTTTTGCAGATATCTGCCCCTCTCTCTCTTTCTCTCTGTTTGTCGTTTCCTTTGTTATCCCGTTTATTGCATTGCGTGGATTTCGCAATTCGAGATGAAAGTTTTTGTCGCATACATTAACCTCATCTATTACATCACAAAGTAAGAGAGAGAGAGAGAGATTGACTGAGACCGAGAGATAAAGAGAGGGTGGGTGAGTGAATGAATGATACCCAACTGAGGCAGTCAGTCATTCAGTCAGTTCAGTTGGTCAAACGTGTTTACATAAAGCTAAATATAGCCAGGGACAAATGTACAAACAGGACGAACAGACAGCAGGATGGAGAATGGGGAGAATGGTGGCATGGTGGTATCGCTGGTTGTGGTGGGGCCTGGCCCGGGCCGGACTTGGATGGAAAGCCAGTCAAATGGTCTTGTTAATTTCCATTTTTCTATGCAAATTCCGACTTCCTCGACACACACACACACACTGACAGTCGAAAATGGCAATAAATGCAACAAACAA